GCTCAAATTGCACCGCACAGAATTTGCATTTGATTTGCACAGGAATGGGGTGCACTGTGTGAATCACAAGCGATATGCCGCACCACACAAGTGTGAACCCAACCTAACAGTAATTGTTAAATAGACTTCCACATTAGCTAGTTTTTGTCAGTCAAACGATCGCGGCATTAAAAAAATAACCCAGTAATTGGGGGGATTAGAGGCTGGTACTCATGTGGTTAATAGAAATGACCCAGATCTCAATGGTAGCAGGTAATCTGCCAAATGTCTTTCCCAGAACTCTAGACAAACCCCAGTTGCTGGCGTCAGCCAAGGTCTCAAAGTTCATGCTTCTATATTATCATAAACTGCATGATAATTCTAATCCCTTCCAAATCCCACAGAAGGTCTGCTCCTTTAACCGTGCCAGTCTCCGATGTCAGGGTAAATCCCTGAGGGCCCTGGCATCATATGCCATCCTAACAGGTGCCCACCACCATTATTTTTATAGTTGGCCTGTCAGACCTGGAAGCCTCCTATAAGCTGTGTCAGTGTGATAAACATAGTGCAGATATATGCGTCAATTCTCAATCCTTCTGTTTATAGCGGTTTTATCATTTAGGTACATGGAGGCAGCCATCTTCACCTTTATTATACATGGCGTATGCTCTTGTGTTCTTTGCTTTGTTTTTACTTTCTTTATTTAAAGGCATTTTAATACATAAGGAAAAAGTTAAAATTATTTTTAAAAAAGTGATTAAAATTAAAAGGGAAAATGATCATCATTGTACACTAGATCGCAGTCCACATGGTTAGTGAAGTGTATGTGATATTGCAGGATATCAGCCCAACAACTTATGAAATACATTTCAGTAAAAAATACACTAAAGTTAATTTTAGGGCAGACAAATGCAATGTATTACCCAAAAAAATATGAGGTTACTCCGAGTGTAACGGAACCGACCCAGACTGCGCTTGAGTACTTCCGTTAGACTACCGCTTCCCCATCCGAACACTGACAACAGACACCACAGCTGATCATACAAGACTAGACGACACCAGTCTTTAAGTAAACCAGGAGGTAGACTAGTTTATTTGAACACAGATACAAGATATATGCACTCAGGGTCAATCCCCCCTCCCTGCATAATGACACAGGGCGGGGCAATCTACATTTAGTAACAAGAGACACACAGGTATTCAAACTTCACAACAGCAGACAGTCCCATCAGGAGGAAGGACTGCTGGAGACCCCCCCCCCCCCCCACTAAGCTAATACACACAAACACATACATCTCATAATAGTTTGCTCCCAAGTGTTGTAAAGGATTTATTTTTTAAATAACCATCTCTATACTTGCCTACTCTGTGCAATGGAATTGGGTCCCCCGCCATTGATGGCAAACATTTTTTTTTAGCCCCCCCCCCCCCCCCCATACAATTTCGCTCTCCACCTGCTCTGAGACACACAATAAATAGCAGCTAAACTCAAAATCTGTGTACTCCAGCAGATCAGGCAGCAATTGAAATTGATTGCCAGAGGTTACAGCATATCTTTACCACTCAATGACTAGTTGATAGAGGTTACAGGACACATTATGGCTCACTAATTCATTGCTAGAGGTTACAGCACATGATTTCTGCTTGCTGATTGGTTGCTTAAGGTTACTGAACATCCCTACTGCTCACTGATTGGTTGCTTGAGGTTTCCGTACATCCTTACAGCTCACTGATTGGTTGCTAGAGGTTACTGCACATCATTACTGGTCACTGGTTGGTTGCTAGAGGTTACTGCACATTATTACCACTTACTGATTGGTTGCTAGAGATTACTGCACATTCTTACCACTCACTGATTAGTTACTACAGGTTACAGCACATAATTACGTCTCATTGATTGGTTGCTGAAGGTTACAGCACATCATCTCACTGCCTGCACACCATGGACTAAGAAGGTTAGGGGACCCACTAATAGGCAGAAAACTCCTAGGACTCCTGGGATCATGGGCAGTTCTGGGGTCAGGGTGTGATCAGTGGCAGTGCTGGGGAGAGGGTTGATGGGATCAGTGGCAGTGGTGGAGAGGATGGGATAGGTGGCAGTGGTGGGGAGGATCACAAAATCTGGTTAGTTTGCACCGAATGCATATACATGCAGTTTTGCTGGATGAATAGCAATGCAGATTTTGTTATAAATACATCTCTTGAACGCCTCTCTACCTTTGCCAATTATAATAGCCTGGCCTTGAGCCTTCATCAAAATCATCTTTCTCGATGCAAGCATGGCAGCTCACATAGTAGGATTTACAACATGAAAGAAAATTACGGTAAGTATTTGATTCCAACATTCTGACAAAACTGAGTTTTATAGAACATTTGTTCAGCTCATTACATGAAAGTAAGGTTAATAATAAAACTTAGATAACAAAATCTTCAGTTTTACTCAAATTAGCTGATGCAAAAATGAATACACCCCACAACAATAACTACTACATCTAGTATTCTGTATGATCTCCATGATTTGTAAGGACAGCACCAAGTCTTCTAGGCATGGAATGAACAAGTTGGCAACATATTGCAACATCTGTCTTCTTCCACTTTTTCAAGACTTTTTGAGCCTGGATGCTGGATGGAGAGTGGTGCTCAATGTTTCTCTTCAGAATTCCCCATAGGTGTTCGATGGGTTCCAATCAGGAAACATACTTGGCCACTGAATCAATTTCACCCTTTTCTTCAACAGAAATGAAAAAATTTGGCTTTAGATGTGTGTTTTGGATCATTGTCATGTTGGAAAAGTGCACGACGACCAAGGGCACAGAGTGATGATAGCATCTTCTCTTTCAATATAGAGCAGTACATCTGTGAATTCATGATATCATCAATGAAATGCACTTCTCTGACACCAGCAGCACTCATGCAGCCCCACAGAAGGACACTGCCACCACCATGTTTCACTGACGGCACCATGCATTTTTCTTTGTACTCCTCACCTTTTCGACGCCATACGGTTTTGAAACCATCAGTTCCAAAAACATTTATCTTGGTCTCCTCACTCCAGAGTAGAGAGTCGCAATAGACTTCTTCTTCAAAATAGGCCCTGGCAAATTCTAGGTGGGCTTTTTGTTCATGAGCTTTAGGAGAGGCTTCCTCCGTGGATGATTCCTTGCATGCCATTCCTCTGAAGTTCCTTCCATTCCTCTGGAGTGTACGCCATATTGTGTCACGGGAAACAATCATCCCAGTTTGGCTTTTTACTTCTTTAGCTAACTGCAGCAAACTTGCATGGCGATTTTCTTCAACCCTTCTCATCAGAAGACGCACCTGTCAAGGTGTTATCTTCCGTGGACGACCTGGACGTCTCTGTGAGGTGGTTGCAGTTCCATCTTTGTTAAATTGTTGTATCACTTTTGCTACAGTATTCTGACTGATAAGTAAAGCTTTGCAGATCTTCTTGTAGCCTTCACCTTTCTTGTGTAAAGAAATTATTTTCCCTTTCTCAGGCCTTGTGACATTTCTCTTCCATATGGTGCCATTGCTGACAGCAGGAAATGGGAAGTAACGCCCTTTTATAATCAACTGTCTGCTGGATACCTGTTTAATGAATAATTAGACTCACCTGATTTTGTTGTCTAAAATTTAGCTTTGCCCCCAAGACTTTCATTGGGGTGTATTTATTTTTGCAACATGGTCTTGAATTAATTTGTTAGGAAAAATACATTTTTGTGTGTGCAAATTAACATATTTTGTTTGCAATCAATGGCCCGCATTTGTGGGAGTATTTTGTAGTATAGTGTTCCATAGAAAATGTTGTTTCTGATAGGATTCTGACAAATCTGTTGGGGTGTACTCATTTATGCTGAGCACTGTAGGTCAGATGGAACATAGTGGTTGCACAGACACAGCTGCTCTTCCCAATTTGACAGCCATGTGTGTTCAGGTCCTCAAACTCACATTGTCTTTGTTCAGGGACCCACACGCACCTGTACCCACACAGCTGTCAAACTGGGAGCAGCAGCTGCATCCAAAATGACATGAATAGGACTGTACGCTCAGAGGGATCCACAGAACACCTGTGCATCCCCGTGAGGGCAAACATGACCCTCGCAAGGCCATACACTCAAGTAAACCCAATGCAAACAAGGCCCAAGTATTTGATACAATTTTCTACTATTATTAACTGGTTGCGGCTCTGCATGCATACAGAGTTCTATCAACAGAGGAATCTCCTGCATCAATTTAGATGTATATGCTAGATTCTAATAAACCAGAGAATTTAACCTCTTCACGCCGGCGCCTCCTGGCCCTTTAAGGGGTTTCAGATGCTGAGAGGCGGGGCAGGGTTTTAGGGTCTTGTGACACATGATCGGAAAAGGTCCCGATCGCAAGGGGAGATTGGGACCTTTACGTGAGACACTGACATATGTGCTGGGAGCGCGCAGGGCAAATGTTTTCAAATGGTACGCAAATATCCGGCTGCTCTGTGTCAAGGCCCAGCCTCCGGGAGGCCGCATATTTGCGTATGGTCGGCATCAAGGGATTAACATCTAAAGGGATGGCGGAAATATTGTCTTTCATAGTTCACTGAAAAAATAACTTGGATCTTCTATCCTCCTAGCAGAGCCTTTCCTGGGTGTCTATGCTGTACACCAAGGGTCTCCAAACTGGGGCCCGAGGGTTGGATGTGGCCCTTTGCTAGCCTTTATCTGGCCCTTGGGGCACTATTCCTCCCAATGATATGAAGCAGTATTCCTCCCACTGACACCAACAATGGGACACTATTTCTTCCACTGATAACACTTATGGGGTACTATTCCTCCCATTAATACCAGTGATTTAGCACTACTCTTCCTCTTAATGACCACCATCCCTAAGGCCATGTTTATTCTCACTAGGCTCGGCCTGAAACATTTTCTACACCCACTGGCCACACTCTGGCCCTTTTAACCACCTTCCGCCCGCCATATAGTACAATGACTGGTGCAAGGTGGTTCTCTCGTCATATGACGTCCTTCCATTCTCAGGGAGTGCGTGGCGATCGCCGGTGCGCTGTGTCCCACGGACGGAAGATGTCGTCTCGGTCATGTGATCAGCTGTGTCCAATCACAGCTGATCACATGTAAACACGGAAATGTTGGTTATCGGCATTTCTCTCCTCTCGAGCTATCACGCTGACAGCTTGAGAGGAGAGCCAGTAATCAGCTTTCCGCGGAGGGGATATGTAGACTGATCATCAGGGCACTGATGATCAGTGTGCCCTGATGATCAGTGTGGCCCCAGAAGTGCCACCTGTCAGTGTCCATCAGTGCCAGCAGTCAGTGCTCATCAGTGCCACGTGCCAGTGCCCATCAGTGCTACATCAATGCCACATATCAGTGCATACCAGTGCACATCAATGCCAAATATCAGTGCCCATCTGAGCTGCCTTTCAATGTTACCCATCAGTGCCAGTCAGTGCCACCTATCAGTGCTGCCAATCAGTGTCACCTATCAGTGCCAGTCAGTGTTGCCTATCAGTGTGCATCAGTGCCGCCTATCAGTGCTAGTCAGTGCCGCCTATCAGTGCCAGTCAGTGCCGCCTGTCAGTGCCGCCTATCAGTGCCGCCTATCAGTGCTGCCTATCAGTGCCATATATCAGTGTCATGTATCAGTGCTGCCTTTCAGTGCCCATCAGTGCAACCTACCAGTGCCTCCTCATCAGTGCCCATCAGTGCCACCTATGTGTCCATCAGTGCAGCCTATCAGTGCCCATCACTGCAGCCTCATTAACGCACATCAGTGAAGGAGAAAAATCACTTATTTCCAAAATTGTATAACAAAAACTAAGAAAAAAAGTTTTTTTTTCAAAATTTTCAGTGGTTTTTGGTTTGTTTAAGAGAAAATAAAAATCCCAGAGATGATTAAATGCCACCAAAAGAAATCTCTATCTGTCTCAAAAAAATTATAAAAATTTCATATGGGTACAGTGTTGCATGACCGCGCAATCGTCATTCAAAGTGTGACAGCACTGAAAGCTGAAAATTGGCCTGGGCAGGAAGGGGGTATAAGTGCCCTGTGGGCTAGTGGTTAAAGTCGGCCTTTTGTTTGAAAAGTTTGGAGACCCCTGCTGTACACTAATGATGACCTGTAGGGCTGTCAGTCCTGGATCAAGCAGGAATAAAGTACACCATTTTTTTTATTATTACAAAGCTGCATTTTTTTAAATGTCCGCTGACTTTAATCAGGAAGGTAGAAAGAAGCTCAAGCGGATTTCTCACATTGGGAAAAAAGGGTCGTATTGAATGTCTCTCTATAAATAAATGCATTAACAAGTATATGGTGATAATTTTTTTCGGCCACTACAACTTGATCAGATTACAAGAAATTGATTTTTTTTTTCCCAGAAGGCAGAGCCTCCATTATAGCTGAAGACATATTAACCCATAACTTAATCCATTGTGCTTCTATTGTCCTCCATAATTCCATCTGGATTTACCATTTCAACACCACACAAGGACTAGATTTGAATTCTCCACCAATAATCACATTGCAGCTGCTTCTCTGCTAATCCTGTGCTGTTTTCACAACACAGACTGAAAAGAATGCTGTGTGTGTAGCTGTTGCTCAGGTTTGTTTTCTTTTTTTAATGAACAATGGATGTGGTGCATTGGAGGCGTGGCCTAGTAATCTTTTTGAATAGCCGGAGATCTCATGCCAATTCTGATGGGTTCCCAGGTCTAGCATTGCTCTTTTCTGTCATCATTGCTCCATCCTACAACCACACCTTCACCTGCCTGGAATTGGTATTTAAGCTTTAGTGCTGGCGCTTCTGCAATTTCCCCACAAAGTAATTATGCAAAAGCGTCTAATATTATAAAAATTTACTACCAGTTTTTATCACACTGGGGACCTGCTTTAGGCTTGGCACACATGAGTAATACAATGGACCTTCACCCTCTGAATGAATTTCTTCTCCTCTTCTTCCTCCCCTGTCCTGTGTAGGCAAAGATGAGTATTCCCCCCACCGCAGGTCCCAAATATCTGGCAGACAGAGACCTGTGGCCAGGGGTGTATTTACCACAAGGCAAACAAGGCATTTGCCTAGGGCGGCATTTTTCGGGGGGGGGGGGGGGGGGGGGGGGGCAGCACTGCCCCTCAGAAGAAGGTATGGAAAAAGGGACACATGCAGCATGGCAACCTGGTGGGTTCGAAGAGAGGCTCCAGGTTTCATGACAGTGTATGCACAGCCCGGCTCTTGTTCCTGGGGATGTGCAGAGCTGTGAAGGCGAGTGTCTTTCTCTGTCTCACCATGGCGGATGATGGCTGGTGTATGGGGGGCAGTGATAGTGGAAGGCTCTCCGGTGGGGGGCAGGGCTGTTGTTGGTCAATGTTAGGCTCTCTCTGCGGGGGGGGGGGGGGGGGTGCCGATTTGTGTGTTGCCTAGGGCAGCACAAATCCTAAATACACCACTGCCTGTGGCATATCTGTGCATCTTGCGACATGCATGTGCAGGAAGAAACAGCCATCTTGCCAACCAGGAGCATCAGAATGGTGGAAAGGTAGCAGAGCAGCTCAAGGAAGGCAGCACTGAATTTTATGGACTTAGTAAGGCCTCATTCACACTAGCGTTCATCTCTGAAAAATGATTTGTAATTGGATCGCTCTTTAGAGAGCATTTGACAGATGGTGACAAGGCACTGTATACTTCCACACTGCCTACTTTAACCCCTTGAACCCTGCACTGGCGCTCTGCACCTACATGCATTGCACGCAGTTGTGGGGCACTTGCAGAGTGGCTCCATTCACTTGAATGGGTTGCATTTAGTGACTGCTATGCCTGCCAAAAGATTTAGGGGGTATATTTCCTATGGTAGCAGTGGCATGTGTATACCCTCAGCTGTTGCCTCTGCAAGTAAAGCAGGTAGCGAATGGGGTTACTAGAAGCACGGCTCAACTGTTGAGTTTTACTGCCCCCCAACCACTAGTGTGAATGAGCCCCAAGTGATTTTTTTTTTAATCATACAGGGACAATTGTCGGTGAATTTTATTTTACCCACGTAGTGTGAAATTCCTCTTTAATCTTGGCTTTGTCTAAAAGTGCAAAAAGAGTTCAAAAGCCTGACAATATCTCGTTAAAGGATAAGTACACCTTTTCTAACATGTTACATGTTACACTCGTATTCAGGGTGTAACATGTAACATGTTAGCGCTGCAGCTGACCCCGCTGTGATAGAAGACTGGGGATCTTCTCCCCATGTCTGCTGTCACAATTCAAAAAAGATGTGGCCGTGCGGGGCTCCGCCCACCTGGCCATGTCATTCATTCATGGAATTCTACAGTAAAACTACAACTACCGACAGCCTTTGCGGCTGTTTTTTTCTAGTTCTCAATGAACTTCCATGGCGCTGTGGTAGTTCATTCTCTCTTCCTTCCTGTGTATATCTACCTGCTCACATGAGGTCAGAGCACATGGAAATACAGACAGGTCTGCAGGAGTCCCACATGGCACATGTGATCTGCTGATTGCGAGTGCAATGCTTTCTAGGCTCCTAGTAAGTATAAATAATAAATGTACAATTTTTGATCTGCAAAAAGATGAGCATTTATTACTTTTGAACTTATCCTTTAACCACTTCCTGTCCGGACACTTTTACCCCCTTCCTGTCCAGGCCAATTTTCAGCTTTCAGAGCTATCACACTTTGAATGACAATTGCGCGTTCATGCAACACTGTACCCATATGAATTTTTTTACCATTGTTTTGAGACAGATAAAGCTTAATTTTGGTGGTATTTATTAACCGCTGGGATTTTAATTTTTTTTGATATGTAAATGAAAAAGTCCAAAAATTTAGAACAAAAGTGTTTTTCTTATAACATTTTGCAAATAAATAATCTTTCATCATAAATCTTGGCCGAAATGTATTCCGTTATCTTTTAAGTAAAAAAAAATAAGCCAAATTAGTTTATAACCAAAAATTATAATTTTTTTAACTTTTTTTTTTACATTTTTGTTTTTATTTTTTTATATTATTATTTATGTTTTTTTTTTTTTTTACATACTGTCACCCTAGCAGTACAGTGTCACCATGGTGACACTGTACTACTTGTGGGGGGTGATGAAGATTTTTTTTTTTTGCAGTGATTGCTTTTACACCCATATAGGATGTAAAAGCAATAATTTCTCTTTCTCTCTGTCTGCATTCTTGCAGCCATTGAGAACTACTGAGTGAGCTGTGATTGGTCACAGCTTGTCACATGGTACAAAGGCTGTTGTGAATAGTACCATGTGACCTCTGTGATCATTCACAGATTTCACATGTAGTAAGCAATGATGTCACAAGTGACATCTTGCTTACTACTTTGCATGTGATCACTGATTGGCCTATCAGTGATCACATGATTGGGACCTCGTATAGCGGTCCCGTCCGACAATCGGTGTTTCACTGTGTCCGGAGGACACAGCGGGCACCGGATCGCGGTGCTGCACGCTCCCAGGGAGCGCACACAGCTAGAAATGGCGGGTGCCGTTTATGAACGGCAACCCGCCCTGGTGTGCCATCGCCCTGCCATTTATAAACAGCAGGCGGACGGCAAGTGGTTATAACCACTTCAAGTTCGGACACTTTCACCCCCTTCCTGTCCAGGCCAATTTTCAGCTTTCAATGCTATTACACTTTGAATGATAATTGTGAGGTCATGCAACACTGTACCCATATGAATTTTTTTAGCATTTTTTTGAGACAGATAAAACTTTATTTTTGTGGTATTAATTCACCACTGGGATTTTTATTTTTTTGCCGTATAAAATGAAAAAGTGTTTTTCTTATAACATTTTGCAAATAATCTTTCTTCATAAATCTTGGCCAAAATGTATTCATCTATCTTTTTAGTAAAAAAAAAATAACCCAAATTAGTTTATAACCAAAAATTATAATTTTTAAACTTTTTTTTTTACATTTTTATTTTATTTTTTTATATTATTATTTATGTTTTTTTTTTTTTTACATACTGTCACCCTAGCAATACAGTGTCACCATAGTGACACTGTACTACTTGTGGGGGGTGATGAAGATTTTTTTTTTTTTTCACTGATTGCTTTTACACCCATAAAGGCTGTAAAAACAATCATCTCTCCTCTCTGGCTGCATTCTAGCAGCCATTGAGAAATACTGTGCAAGCTGTGATTAGTCACAGCTTGTCCCATGGTACAAGGTTGTTGTGAATAGCCTTGTACCATGTGACCTCTGTGATCATTCACACATTTCACAAGTAGTAAGCAATGATGTCAGAAGTGACTTATTGCTTACTACAAGTCATGTGTTCACTGATTGGCCAATCAGTGATCACATAATTGGGACCTCACACAGAGGTCCCGTATAGCGATCGGTGTTCCGCTGTGTCCTGTGGACACAGCGGGCACCAGACTGTGGTGCTGCGCGCTCCTAGGGAGCGCGCACAGACAGGGAACTGGGGAGGACGTTTATAAATGGCCACCCGCTCCACCTGTCCACTGCTCCCTGCTCCTGCTCCCGTCCACCCGTTTATATACATGGGCCAGACGGGAAATAGTTAAAGAGGTTGTAAAGGCTCATGTTTTTTTACCTTCATACATTCTATGCATGAAGGTAAAAAACCTTTTCTGTGCCGCAGCTCCCCCAGCCCCCTCTATTACTCGCCTAAGCCTCCTCTCCATCCAGCCACTCCCCCTCCTCATTGGCTGAGAAAGCAGTGTGAGCCACTGGCTCCTGCTGCTGTCAATCACAGCCAGTGAGCCAATAAGAAGAGAGGGGGGGAGCTGCGCCACGGCTCTGTATAAATGGACACACAGAGCAGCATCTTGGGAACGCGCCTGCTCTGGTGCCTCCATACCAAGCTGCTTTCTGTGGGGGCACCAGACAGGAGGGAGGGGCCAGGAGCACCAGCGGTGACCCCAGAAGAGGACCATCCGGGCTGCTCTGTGCGCAACCACTGCACAGAGCAGGTAAGTATAACATGTTTGTAATTTTTTTTCTTTAATTTAAGCCTTTAGTATCACTTTAAAGTGATAATAAAGGCTCAGTTTTTGTTTTGTTTTTTTATTTTAAATACGTATGTCATGCTTACCTGCTCTCTGCAATGTTTTTTCACAGAGAAGCACTGATCCTCCTCTTCTTGGGTCCCCCACTGGCACTTCTGACTCCTCCCCTCTTTGAGTTCTCTCCCTAGCAAGCTACGTGCTAGGGCTGGTGCTGTGGGAAAATTGTCAATTCATTAGTGGTCAGTGGGAGGAATGCAACATTTACACACAGCTAAGCAAATGTTTGGTGTCGTGTTTCTGGCTCTGCCAAGTAGCCCTGGACCAGGGACTATGTAGGAACCATCAAGTGAGAAGCCAATTAACAACAACTCAAGAAACCCCAAGGAACCTCTGGAGCCACCCCAGTGATCAACAGAACCCTGGTTGGGTTCATCATTTCAATAATCAATTTAGATCTGCCATCGTTCTATATCAAATTATTGTTCAAATGATTGTATTTGTCATTTTGAAAAGTCAGGAAAGATAGTGGTGAAAACAGCATTGTGAGTTTAACCAGTTTTTGTGTATTAATTCTTTGCTGTTTGCTTAACTGAGGCCATGGCAAGTTTTGTGTCCTATGGCTACAATTTTTGTACTAAAAGGTGTCTGTCGTCTGAAAGAGTTGAAAAATATGAAAATGGTAGCTGCCATTATCGACCTTCTCCTGAAATGCTGGTTACTTGGTCGATACTGTTTTTAATACGTTTAGTTACTAACCCACCACATGCATGTAACATGCTAAGTTGCTGAAGTCAGTATTCCTGATGTTCATGCTTGTTCCAAGTCACCAAAGTTTTGAAGTTGATGAACTTTACTTGTATTCTCCTAGATTGTAAGCTCCAAGGAGCAGGGCCCTCCTATCCCTCTTGTATTGAACTGTATTGTTGCTGTATTGTCTCCCGTTATATTGTAAAGTGCTGAGCAAACTGTTGGCGCTATATAAATCCTGTGTAATATATTAATAATAATAATTATCTGCATTGTCAAAATACAGGTTCACTTTAACCATTTGACACCCGGTCTATGGCCGAATGGCATCCGGAAAAATGTACTAGCTTTCCGGGAGGCCGCCATATGGCGTCCTCCCGCACATGCGCAGTTTGCGCGATTGCAGAGCCGCGCAGCGGTGCGATCTGTCACCGGTCGTGTATCTCGGACACGGCCGATGACAGATCTGAGTACCGGCCCTGTTGCAAGTACCATGTGACCTGCTGTGACCAATCACAGCAGGTCACATGACAGTTGTATACAATGGATGGCTTCATTCATGCCATCCATTGTATACTAGTGTGTCTAGCTGTGAATGGTCACAGCTAATCACATGCACATGTCATGTGATTAGCTGTGGCCAAATCACAGCTAAGCACAAAAAAAAAAAAAAAACCTGAATGAATCGATGTCATTCAGGTAAATGCTTGCTTATAGCAAAGTAATTCTTTGCTATAAGCAAATTGTGTAAAAAAAAACAAAAAACAAATACTGATCACTTCCCCAAAGTAGTACAATGTTACTATGGTAACATTGTACTACTTTGGACATAGTGAAATATGAAAAAAAAATCTTAAAAAAAAGAAAGTAAATGTAATAAAAAATTTAAAATAATAATAAATAAATAAATAAAAAAAATATATATTTTTTTTTCACACTGTCACCAGTCAGTTTCCCTGATCACCGCCATGCCAGTTATATGATGATGCTGTACTGCACTGGTGACAGTATGTAAAAAAAAAATAGTGAAAATAATTTATTAAATTTTTTCATTTTCCTAAAAATTATGACAAAAAAAATACAACTTCAAACTCGCCATGCCTCTTATGAAATACGTCAGACTGTCTACTTTGCAAAAAGGGGTCATTTGGAGGATATCTGTACTGTTCTGACATTCTTGGACCTCAAGAAATTAGATTGGCTGTCAGTACTTCAGGATTGATCAATTTTCAGATCTATACCATAGTTTGTGAACTCTATAACTTTCCTACAAACTAAAAAATACATCCTAATTTGGGTTATTTTTACCAAAGACATGTAGCAGAATACATCTTGGCCTAAATTTATGAAGAACAATTATTTATTTGCAAACTTTTATAACAGAAACAAAGAAAAACGTGTTTTTTTTTTTCAAAATTTTCAGTCTTTTTTTGTTAATTTAGTAAAAAATAAAAACCCCAGCGGTGATTAAATACCACCAAAAGAAAGCTCGAGTTCTGTGAAGAAAATGATAAAATTTTAGTTTGGGTACAATGTTGTATGACCGCGCAATTGTCATTCACAGTGTGAGAGCGCTGAAACCTGAAAAATGGCCTGGGCAGGAAGGTGTAAAATTGCCCGGTATTGAATTGGTTAAGCAGTACCTGCACTGAGTGATGAAGGCACCACTGTAGGTGTAAAGCTAGTCAGGTTTTAAAGCATGAAATCTTTATTTAAAGCTACAGGCTTGCGGTAACCCTACGGAGAGCGACATTTGTTGCCTGTCTGTGGGTGGAAGCCTCTAGAAAGTGACTGCTACATGTGAGGAGGGGGGGCCAGCTGTACTCAAATGTCAGAAGCGTTTGCACAGCTGACACCAGTTGCTGAAAACAGAACATGGCAGCACTGTCATAAATTCTCTATGAAGCCTTTCGGCAGCTTAATATAGCTCTGGCCTCAGCTGGAGTGACTCTTGTCTGATGGTGAGGAGCTCTGTACAGGTACCATAGCCTCTTATTTCCTTCACGTTCATTGTTCGAACACCACTGATAACCATGACAAAGTCCAGCCAGGATTCAGATTTGGATGAGCTCTTCGAGGACATCGATGAAGATGAAATTTTGGCTAATCTTTCTCCGGAAGAGCTGAAGGAGCTTCAGAATGAGATGGAGGTTCTGGCACCAGATACGGATTTACCGGGAGGGATGACACCAAAGAACCGAACAGATAAGGCTACATCTGACCAGTCTGACCTCCAATCCCAGGAGTCTTTTGGAGACATCGATGAAGATGAAATTTTGTCCAATCTCTCTCCGGAAGAGCTGAAGGAGCTCCAGAAAGAGATGGAAGTATTGGCACCGGATCCGAATTTACCAGTGGGGATGATACAGAAGGACCAGACAGAAAAAGCACCTACAGGACAGTTTGACCACAGATCCCTCATTGATTACCTGCACTGGGAGAAGGAGTCAAAACGAATGTTAGAAGAGGAGAGAGTTCCTGTTACCCTGCTGCCCTCTGAGGTAAATCATCATACAATAGATAAAAACAACTAATAATTTATCTCTGGGTGCTACAGCAAAAACACAAAACAGGAGCAAACATTTCTAATCAATAGTTCTTGTTAAATATTTAGTGATGTGACTCATCTATCTACTCGAGGGTCCCAGTTCTGCTCCTGTCTCTTTGGAGTCTCACTCCTCCAGCTTCATTCTCTTTGCTATGAAATTAATAGAAAATTCAGCAAGGGGAATAGAATCCTCTTGTACTATCCATAAAAGGTGAGCAGATAAACTCAAACAGATCTTGTTAATGAAAGTGTATAACCAGTCAAACTTTTTTTTAGTTTTGGATAAAGTTGGGAAGGATTAAAATCCTGTTGGGCTTTTACTGCTATCCACGTCTCCGAGAGATTTCGCCACATTACTGTCAAGGTGACAACTGTTTCACCAGAGAGGAAGTAAGGTCAAATCTCCTACAGCAACACAGGCAAATATAAATGAGTTTTTAGTGGAGCAGGGGTAGGTCCAGGGACAAACTGACCATTTGGAAACTCAGGCACTGCCCGAGGGCCTGGGGTCAGTAGGGGGCCCCATGAGATACCCCTGCTACCTTTTTCATAGGCTTTTTGAGTTTGGGCAAGGACACAGGGGCCCCATGATCCCCTATTGCCCGGGGGGGGGCCCCATGAGTTGTCAGTCCGCCCCTGGGTAGGTCAATTTGTCAGATAATTATTTCTTAAAGAACAAACCACCATCACCGAGTTTGTAGAGGGGGAGTACCCCAATATAAGACACTAGGAACTCAAAGCTGCATATGCCGTATTTGGGCGCCAGTTTCTGATTTCACCTCTATACTGTATGGACTGATCAGGAACACATTATTTCTCCTATACCCACAGTCCCATTGTATGTACAGTGTGTGTGTGTATATATATATATATATATATATAGAAAAATACCATGCTGGATATCTATATTGATATGGACTGGGTAATGTGTTAGGAAGGTAAGGATGCCCCATCGTTTGATGGAAATGAAAATTATCAACCTACAGGGGACTGAATTCAAAGACACCCCAAAAATCAACGTGAAAAAAAATGATGCAGCAGGCCAGTCCATTTTGCTGAAGTTTCATTGCAGCAACTCAGAATGGTACTCGGTAGTTTGTATGGCCCCCAGGTACTTGTACGCATGCCTGACAATGTCGGGGCATGCTCCTAATGAAATGACGAATGGTGTACTGGGGTATTTCCTCCCAGATCTGGACCAGGGCATCACTGAGCTCCTGGACAGTCTGAGGTGCAACCTGGTGGTGTCGGATGGACCAAAACATGATATCCCAGAGGTGTTCTATTGGATTTTTGGCCATTCAATGGTTTCAATTCCTTCATCCTCCAGGAACTGCCTGCATACTCTCGCCACATGAGAACGGGCATTGACGTGCACCAGGAGGAACCCAGGACCCATTGCATCAGCGTAGGGTCTGACAATGTGTCCAAGGATTTCATCCCGATACCTAATGGCAGTCAGGGTGCCATTGTCTAGCCTGTAGAGGTCTGTGTGTTCCTCCATGGATATGCCTCCCCAGATATCACTGGCCCACCACCAAAACGGACATGCTGAACGATGTTACAGGTAGCATAACGTTGTCCATGGCTTCTCCACACCCTTTCATGTCGGTCACATGTGCTCAGGGTGAGGCCTGCATGCTCTCATCTGTGAAAAGCACAGGGCGCCAGTGGAAGACCTACCAATTCTGGTGTTCAATGGCAAATGCCATTTGAGCTCTATGGTGCCAGGCAGTGTGCACAGGGTCCAATAGAGAACTCATGCTACCAGTAGTGACACTGACCTTAGCCAAATGCAAAACTAGAAAAACAGTCAGAAAAGATGAGTAGGGAAAAAAATGTCAGTGGCCTCCACCTGTAAAACCAGTCCTGTTTTGGGGGTTGTATCATTGTTGCCCATCTAGTGCACCTGTTGTTAATTTCATTAACACCAAAGCAGCTGAAACTGATTAACAACCCCCTCTGCTACTTAACTGACCAGATCAATATCTCAGGAGTTTAATAGACTTGATGCTATACTCTGATTAAAAAGTGTTCCTTTTCATTTTTAGAGCAGTATATATATATATATAATTAGTTTGTCATTCTTCCATTTCACTTACTTTTAGGGTGCGGAAAATTGCTTAGAGGGAGCCTGCTTTTGTGCACCTAGATTTTTATGACTGTCTTTGTCCCTGTTGGAGATTTTCGAATCCTTCCCTACTCTATCCAAAACTATAAAATAAAATTTGGTTGGCAAAGTTCCTGGTGGATTGAAGCCAATTAATAACGCAAGTTACAGAAATAAAAGTGCTGCTTTACCATTTAATAAAAATAATGAATGAGGAGGAGTATAATGTTACTCTTAAGTGGCCCTTAAAGTGTATCTAAACTCAAGAACAAATTCAGAATATTTGGCAGTCTACTGTTCCTTGGGCTACATATGTCCCTGAACACAAACAGCCCTAAACATGAGTACCAGTCGGTACAGCGTCCAGCCACCATGTATGTAAGCTTCTTATCAGGGGCGGACTGACAACTCATGGGACCCCCGGACAATAGAGGATCATGAGGCTCCTGTGTCCTCGCCCACACTCAAAACACTCCCAAAAAAGCCTAGAAAAGATACAAGGGGCATCTCATGGGGCCCTCTACTGACCCCAAGCGTTCGTATATGGTCAGTTTGCCCCTGCTTCTTATAGACTTTGACAGGCTGTAAGCAGCAAATCTGGATGCTGCACCTGAGCCTCTCAGGCACCTGGAAGTGCAGGAATTCGGCACACATGAGATAAACACCCAGTGTGCATGAAGTCTTAGATGTGGCTGCATTAATTTTACTTTTTCAGGGTTGTTTTCTTTATTTTCACCTGATGATCCTGTAAGTGACTAACTTCCTGTGCAAGGTGACAACACTGTGCTGTAGCTAAGGAGGAGCAGTGTTGATATCCTAGGACAGGAAGTATGTTAAAGTGGAGTTCCACTCACCCTGTCAAAAAATAAAAGTCAGCAGCTACAAAAACTGTAGCTGCTGACTTTTAAAAAACAGCCACTTACCTGTCCCTCGGTCCCACGGTGTGTCCTCCGCAGCCCGTTGCATCGGCCGTCCTGTATTCCAGGAGGCTGGCATCTTCAGTGTGGGCACCTGGCTGTGATAGCTTGCGGCTTCACAGCCGGGTACCCACTGCGCATGCGTGAGTAGTACTGCGCTTCATGAATGGTCCTGTAATCTTCTGGGACCTGTCACGTGTCCCAAAAGTCTACAGGGAGGGAGGGCGTGAGGACACCTTCCGCTTCCAGTCGCCTAGGCGAGTGGACTGGAAGTGGGTACCTGTCAAATTCAGAGGTACCTGCTCCCCCTCGCCCCCCAAAGGTACAAATCCTTAATGGGGAGCGGGGGAGCAGTCCTTAAAGCAGAACTTCCCCTTTTGGGTGGAGCTCCGCTTTAAAACTACAGAAGACCTTCTTTTCTGCTCACCTTCATAACGTGAGGGGGAGGTGTTCTGTAGCCCTAACACACTTCCTGTTTGAGAAAAGACTGAACCACTAGTTCACACTGGTGGTGTGCAATGAAAAGTGCACGCAGCACTTTTAGTTCTGGTGTGATCTGAAAAAAGTGTGCATGCCGTACTATTTTTCAGCTCAACGCAGTGCACTACAATCAATAGAACTTAATGAAATATTTCTTTGTGATATTTCAATAAAGCTTGCTTAAAAAAAAGTAAATAGTGCAATGCTGCCCAATTGGTGTCTCGGCACCACTGTTATCCTATCACACACCAGCGGCCCAAAACAGCCATAGGCACCCCACAGGTTAACAGTTATTTGTGGGGTGCCCCATGAACGTAGATCAGTTGTCCTAGTTTTACTTCCATGCAATGAGGGTGCATATGGGGGCTTTCAATAAATAACGAGAACCTTTCTGGCTTAGTTCAGTAACTTTTCAATAAGGCCTATTGTATAATAAGGATTAGAATCTCTCTGACTTTTACAGCTGTCTGTGTCCTATTCGGGTATCGTTTAGCCTCAGTGCCAGTAATACTCAGGGAAATTAGGAGAATTTCTTAAGTGTGGGGACACAGGCAAAAAATAGTATTTTCATTAGTAGAGTGGGGAGGGTTTTTTTCATTTTTGGATAGAGTAAGGTGGCATTATATTTCCTGTAGGGGTTTTTTTTTTGCCATCTGTGTCCCATTGGGGAGATTTACCCTCACTTCCTGTTCCACAGCCAAAATAGGAAGTGAGAGGAAATCCCTGCAAATTAACCACTTTGGGACCAGAGACTGCTCGACTTTCCGTGGTTGTACCAGAGTGATGCCTGAAGCTGTAGGCATCACCCCGGTACCGTTTTTTTAGGGCCGGTGGTCGTCTCTCTTGTACAAGCAGTTGGAGTGGCTACTAGCTGCTCGATTGTTTGTACAAGCAGCATGAGGGGATATCTGCTGTAACCCACCACTCTCTCGGGATCTCCCATCCCACTGGGAGTCCCGAGAGACCAGCCGGCACGTCCGCTGGCTGGCCAGAAAGCCGAGCAAAGGCAGAATTGGCTTTGATCGTCTCTCCTTTATTGTAAACTGGAAGTGATGACTGGACATTAATTCTAGTTTACGCAGAAACTTTTAGAGCCATTTTCAAATATCTGTAAGCATTTGAAAACACAGATCTTGGTGTTTTGAATGCTTTCAAGTGCAGAGGGGGGCTTTGGGGTCTCATAGACCCCCAGATCCTGCTATAAAAATGCCTGTCATGTGTCTATTGCTGTGACAGGGGATGTTTACATGGTGGTCGCATGCATGCAAACAGCGATTGTCCCACACATGTGAGGTATCACTGCAATCGTCAGATGATGGGCAGTAACTCTAGTTCTAGAACCCCTCTGTAGATAAAAAATTGGTAACCTGTAAATGCTTTTAAAGCACCATCTATGAACAGGGGCAAACTGACCATTTGGAAACTCAGGCACTGCCTGAGGGCCCG